GAAGGAAACGACAAAACAAGGAAACACATGAACGACAGCGACTTCACGCGAAAAAAACCACTTGCAAAAGGGCTTGAGAACTTCGGCTACTTGCCTGCTCGCAACGTTAGATAATATCTAGGAGAGTCAGCAAAGTTATTTCTTGCAGTAATTGACTGGACAAACCATTGCACTTGCGTCTCGACTTCGCCGCATAGCTCTGCCCAATCTAATTAGTATATCGTGCCCACTTTGCGTCTTTTACTGCGTCTCTAGCCGTCTGCTTCTCTAAATCACATCGGCTGCCATGCTCTCTCCGCGCATATTTCTCCAACTGTTCCCTGCCACCGACAGCTGTTCACGATCACTTTGCAGCAGCGTTTTGTGCGTGTGCTCTAGCTGGTGCAGTTGTCCGAACTCTCCGTAGAAAGCGTCATGTCTAGTTAGGCTGCTCTACCGCAGCCGCGCAAGCTAGCCACCGCGTTGCAGAGAAGTAACAGTTGTCCGCAGTAAGCTCTGCGTCGTCCACGCGTCGCCATTGGGACACGAAACTCGTCAGCCATAAGGGTTTTCGAAGTTCTTTTATGAGCACGTTTTCAGACATGTATGCTCGATGCTTACTCTAATTTTATTGCCTGTGTCCATATTATTATTATTATCATGTCAAGCAGTTCACTCGCGTGATTTCTCTGAAATATTGGTGGGCGGTTTTTTCCACTGTTGTTCTTCTGTTTGGATCACATCCGACAAGTACTTTTTACTAACACAGCTAGATAGGGTTCTGGTTATCGTTTTCACCCAACTCTGTGCTATTCTGTTGCTGTTCATGTCTGGTGTCGTTTGTTGAGAGAAAATTGCTGATCAAAACAAACCAAATGCATCAAGGGGGGCAAAGACTTCCTCGAAATTCTTGAGCTTAGCCTCGTGTGTGAATCTGGTTAAGGGTTATTTATTCTGTCAAACAAGATATAAAGACGCGATCCTCAGTTTTACCAGTGAAGGCCGATGTCAGACTTTGCGAATCGAGCGATTCGCTAGCGTCCGCGGTCGCGTTGCGGTACCAGCCAATTGAGTGATTCACTGGCCGCGACGCGACCGCAGACGCTAGCGAATCGCGCGATTCGCAAAGTCTGACATCGGCCTAATATGGAACGAGCCGCGGCCAATGCGGCCCCCCGGGGGGGGGGGTGGAGGCAGGCAGTTTGTAAGAAGGCCACCAGTACTAAGCCCAACGAAGAGGGACGAATTTTGGAGAGAATGAGAATTGTTTACGAATTCCTGATTCCCTTTCTCCTCCAAAGCTCAGTCCTAAAACTTAGCGTTTCCTTGAATTGACGCAATGGTACAGGCTGCCACCTCCCCGGTTGACGGACTACTTGAACCCGGTCCTTTAAGCCGCCTCAGATCCATCTCTCACCTTATCAGCGGCTCATGACCATTGTGATCTCACACATTCAAACTTTTGCCACACTGTAGTTGGCTCACCCACCTCGGAGTCCCTCCCCCCTACAAGGCTTAGTCCTAGGGCTCTCACCTCCTTCCTTGGGATTTGGAGCCGAGCCAGGCGCCGTTCTCTAATCGTCTGTGCTCTCCGCCATTCGTGGCAGGACCATGGAAGAAAGTTCAAGTAGTCCGTAAACCTCCCTCCCCTAAGCCACTTGTGCCCAAGCCGCTATTCGCATTTCAAGGCGCATTCATTGTCGGTTGTCCGATCATAACGGTCGCACAGCGTTAGATACGTGTCGATCGTCTAATCATCGGACAAGTCCGATGACCGTATGCTTCCAAGCTGCGCGATCGTTACGATCGGACGGCCGACCATGAGTGCGCCCTCAGAACGGTTTATAGTTAAATTAGAGATGACACGTACTTGGTAAGCCATGACGACAGCTCATCGACCAACGTTTCATCCTGCCCGGGGAGGCACTGGTCGAACTGAGGGGGATCTATCGAAGTTGTCGCAGCAGTATTCGTCTAAAGACATGCCATCACATACCAAGTTGAAGTACAGGCAAACGGGCCAGGGGTACTGAAGATGAGTTGAGGAGAAGGGTGAGTATGCACACAAAATAGAATTCATCACCGGTTCAACTAAATATCACCGTTCCAGGATCTGCGTCGGGAACTGGAAGAAAAGGAGAAGATAGCCTCCCGAGAAAGGCGCAATCGTGAAGCAGCCTCTTCTAGTTCAAGCAGCAAGAGAGCAAGGATTGAAGAGTCATCTCACGCTGCTGTAGATGCCGATGAACCGCTTGATGAGGTATGTCACTTTTTTTTTCGAATTTTGATTTTTTGTTGTTAATGTAGAACCTTCGCCAGTTACTAATCAGTCTGGTTTGACCTACGATTGATAATGACGAGGTTCTGGTAGTTGCCATTCTGTTCACGTTAGCTTCACATTGTCTGACGGAACGCTCTGTCATTGGCCAACTTACAGGAGCATTTAGTTAAAATTGATCCCACTGGTTTAACCAGTAGGATATTTAGGAAATGATAGAGCATCTCATTGGAGCGATGGGACTTGACGAATTTTGACAAGTCTGAGGGTTTGAAGGACCGCACGATGCACTAGTTCATAAAGCCAATTCGTCCTCTAGTTTGTACTTTATCCCGAAGGAAAATAACTTCTGATTCATCAACCATCAATTCCACTCGCCTACGTAAAATACTAGCTTTTATAAATCAATGTGCATCATTCACCAGGTTCCATTCTCAGTGCTTTTTTCATATGCTATTTTCCTTTGCCCTATTGCCACGTGCATCAAATGTGAACGTAATGAAAGAGCGTATGATTTGCAGCATGATTCTTCTGACGATGACTCTGATGAAGACGACACGGCTGCCCTCATGGCAGAGCTAGAAAGAATAAAAAAGGAGCGCGCAGACGAGAAAGCTGCACGAGAAGAAGAAGAAAAGAAGCGAGAGGTATGTTATAAGACTTGCTAAACTACTGCTTCGTTTGATTTCTGTAAACTGCTGCTTCAAAGCCGCAGTCGGCGTTGTGAGTGTTTCCTTAGAATGCCAAGTTATAGACTAGAGGTGCAAGTTCGATTCGCTTGTGGCGAAAGTTTTGCCTCCAATTCAGGATTTCTGTGAAATGCTCGACCTTCTTTGAGGAGTAGGGGAAGTTGCAAGGGTGTGGTTCATAGGACAGAAAGCGGCTTTTCCGCGTTTTGCAGCGCGAAACATTTTCGCTGCGGGAACCTCAGGTCCACCGCTGATCATCAGTGGACCTGAGGTTCCCGCAGCGAAAAATGTTTCGCGCTGCGAAACGCGAAAAAGTCGCTTTCTGTCCTTATGAACCACACCCAAGTTGCGATGAGAACATCCGTGTTTTGGGGCCTTTCTTCATGCTCTCATAATGTATTCTTTCATTTCAACGGATAGAGGACACGTATTTATTTTACGCTTCCCAGGAAAAAATTCGCATGGATAATATTCTTGCGGGCAACCCACTGCTACACCCATCCGATTCTGTGGCGTCATCTGCTAATGGTGGAGAATTTAAAGTTAAGCGGCGATGGGACGACGACGTCGTATTCAAAAACTGTGCCAAAGGTGGGTGTTTTTCATCTTAGGTTCATTTTTCTGTTAGTTCACGTGTATGTGGAAAAAGCCTGTCACAC